TCCATCTTTTGAAAAATACATTAATTAGGTATTGCCTCACCACATGTGCATTTGTTCTATGTTGCTATTGTCTGATTTATAGGGAACATAACATGAAAAATACTCGTATTTCTTAAGTACTTTAAAAGGCAACAAATATACAGGACGATAAATTTGACATAAGGAAGTTTATTAGATTTCCAGAAAAATTAAAAATCTGACAACAACGCAAATACCACCATAATATCGGCCATATCACAAAACCCTTACGTACTACAACTCAACCTGTAGATTACCAATGAAGAGAAAAACACAAGCATTATTTATAAAGTATAAAAAGGCCTTCATTTCTGTTTTTTAAAAAGATTTGTAAGTGATTTTGAACAGATTTTAAAGCGATTTTAAGTTGCGAAACCTCAGAATCACTATTATTTCGCTATTTTTTCTTTAGTTTTAAGTATTAAAGAACAAAAAAATTTAGTCCCCAGATTTCGCATTCAAATTTTAAAATCAATGTTTTTGGTATCAAAAAATGGATATTTTCTGTAAAATTCGACATACGCAGCTTTTCTCTTTTCGTTGCAGTTTCATTTTGTCTTTATTTTTGAACAAACTCTTATGTATAGTTGTTAGTTCGAGGTTTTATTCTTAGTGTACACTTTATTTTGTAGCGTTAATTCGATATAAATTTTTGTGTTCTTATAACTTTATTATTAAACATAAGTAAGATCATTCCTTTAGCGACATTACAAATATAAGGTCGCTGGACTTACAACTTAACTGTTTTATCCCAATTTGTAGGACCAATTTTCTAAGGGTTTAGTTACTGCTTGGTACCCTAGCAACCATGTTAATTAAATAAAGAGATATATAAGAACAAAGTATTCTTTACCAATATATTTATTTTCGATTAGCATATACAAGTTACGAGCTTTCCAATTAATTCTTTTACCAATGATCCGACCGTCTTTCTCTCATTTATAAAAGGGAATATTGTCACGTTTTGTTAATTTACATAAAACGGAAAGCCTAAAGTATTTGCCAAATTTTAACGAACTAAAGGAAAAAATATTGTGAACAATTAAGCAGTACAGAATATTTATGCCTTATTTGAAATTCTTTTCGTTAACCCGGGGGTAATTTGGGACCGAAAGGAGCACGGAAAAATTCCAAAACACAAATAATCTCAAATTAATTCAGACGTAATCATCAAAAGCCTTAGTGAAAAATTATTTTGGTCCTAATTAGGAGTGTGGCAATTTATATCGTAAACCCTCGGGATTTGCATGGGAATTTGTAGAATATCTTTTTGAAGCCTCGATAAAGACCAACACTTTTTGTAGCTATTTAGTTCAATAGCATATTAATACCAAAAACGAGATTACTTATTTAGTATAAAATCTCATTAAAAATCCGTTAACATAATTATATTACATAATTACAGCAATCAATTTAAAGGAGTAACTTATGGATTTGTCGACTATGATACAATTTTTGTTTTATTATATTGGATTTATTTAAAAAAATATCGTTTTTGAAACTACCTATGTTACCAACCGTCCTTTAGTTTACTTTAATTTGATAATCCTATACCGGATAAATTAAAAACACAATATATTATATATATATATATATATATATATATATATATATATATATATATATATATATATATATATATATATATTAAAATGATTTCAATATGTTAAAATATATACAACTGTAATGGATTTTTATATGAGTTTGTTGTTTATGAATTTCATGAAGCCATCACAATGTGGGTTCGACTCTGAAATAAAAGAGAGAAAAAGATTAGTAAATTGTTAAATAAATTAATTTTGACTTACCTGGTATAGTGTTAATAATTTCTGAATAGTATAGTTGCCTAGTGTATAGGTGAATCGTCTAAACCTTAAAAAGAACAAAAAAAGAAGAATTTTAAAAAAAATATTTAAACATAGAAATTTTAATAAACGTCAGAAAATAAACTGCTTGACAGTTTATTTGACAGTCTGTGGGAGCTAAATTAATAGGGGTTTTGTTAAATAAGAAATTACAATGATGTGGAGATGAAAAGAATAAATTAGTATTGTAATAGAATAAGTTTTATATCTAAACATTTTTTTTTGTAAATTCCCAAATTATATGTGATTAAAGTGATTATGAGAAAGTAATGTGGCTTGACAAATATGTCAAACAGGACAGTTTTATGGTTTAAAATATTTAAATAAAAGACAGAAAAAAAAAGAACGTTGGTTGCTGTTAGCAACGGATAATAAGAGGAATTGGTTTTTGGAGAGGACGCCGACGAGGTTTTTTTTGGACGAAGGAGAGCCCTGTAACTGTGGAATAGGTCGGGAGTGTTTTTTAACTCGTCTAATTAGAATTTAGTTTTTCCACAGTTTCCACAGCAGAGATATCCAGAAATTTGTTCCAGAGAGTAAGAGAAACAATTTCACTTATAAATTATATTGGAGTATAGAAATGTCATTTAAATTGAGAAAATTAAAATTCATGAATTAACATAATTGCGATAGGCCTTAAAAATTGAAATTATTAATGATCATTAAATTAAAAATTGAATAGTACGTACCTTAACTTCCGAAGAGAGGATTGATATTCCAGTTTCACCGATTATTTTTGAGTAGTTAGTTTCCTTTAAAGAAATCAGAACTGTTTTAAAGTGAGGTTGGACAATAATTTTGGGGATCATTTGAAATTTTGATTATATTTGAATAGTCAGCGGAATAAAGTGTTCATTTTCTTTTCCTTTATAGTTCATTTAAACACTTTATAAAGTTGCAATATTTATTTAGTTTTTAGGTACTTGTAGAGAGTCTCCACATTTTGTAATACATTTTATTGTCACGTCACTAAACCACGTTAAGACTTAAACGATTCCTATTTTTGTAAATTTTTAAAGGCAACCGAAGTTGCAGACGAATTTTATTGTTTATATTAAATTTGTTCAATATTAATAAATAACGTGCTTCATTTGGGTTAATTTATCAAAGGTCTAAAGTAAATTTTGGTTTAATTTCTTTTTGAACTCTACCAGGAGACTACAGAGTCGACGTCACACAGTGACAGATTGCTTAGAATACATAATTGAGCTAGCCGAGGTATATTAAATTAAACAACGAACCACATATTATAAAAATTACATTTATTATAAAAAAAAAAAAAATAAAATTAATAAAATACAACTTTATCAATATATATATATATATATATATATATATATATATATACATATATATATACATATATATATATATATATATATATATATATATACATATATATATATATATATATATATATATATATATATATATATATATATGTATATATATATATATATATATATATGTATATATATATATATATATATTATATATATATATATATATATATATATATATATATATATATATATATAAAGGAGTACGACCGTCTAAATTTAAATACACGATGTGAGTGAGATTAAAATCTCACTGTAAATGAGGATATCGGACAAGGAGAAATAAAAAATGAAAATGTAAAGTCAGATAAAGATGTCAAATGCATAGGTTTATACAAAAATTTATACAAACATTAAAAAGTCACAAAAATGTCACAGTATGTAAACAAGAAAACAATTTTCTACGAAGAGAAAAACAAAATTCATATGGCTTTCTATCTATGGAGATCAGACTTTATACGAAAAATCAACTAAATAACAAAAATACTCGTTTAAGCAGGTCAGAATAGAAAAGTCAATTTTTTATAAATCTAATTAAAAAGGAAGGTTGGAAATATAAGGTACCGATGACCATTGACCACGAAATTGTGTTGAGGAACCTAGAATTAGCGAATGTTAATGAAATGTAATGTCATATAAATTTATTTAACTCACCATGAGGTTCCTTTTGAAAAAGATATCGAATGTGATGTGTGAAAATTGTTGAATTTCTAGTGGAAATGATCAAAATGATTCAGTTTAGAAGTATCAAAGTATAACCGATAGCAGCTACTTTTTTTTCATAGAGGACAAAAACCGAAAATTTAGGCCATGTCTTGATTGGATTTGGGTGTACATAAGTTAATGAAATGTAACATTCAACTAGAAGGATTTTAAGGATTATTCAACAGCAAGGAGTGAAAAATAATATGAGATTATCGATCTTAGTATAGAAATTATTCTCAGTTCCTAGAGATTTAATGTTCTCAAAGTCGATTTGCTGGTTAAGAGCACATCTTTTTGCATCTGATACCGCTTTTATGAGATATAACCCGCCCTTTAAGGATTCTTTTTGTTTGGCCAATATACTTCAAATGATAGTCTTTGACTGGAATGTTGTATACTACATTTAATTTCTCTCAAATATCTAAAGGTATTGTGGTACGTGAAAAGAGATTTCCAACTGTTTTATAATTTTTGATGCCTATTTTAGTAGATAGGGGCTTAAACAATTTAGTAAGTTTCACTATAACCTGTGGAAAATAGGGTAATGAGCAATATATAGGAGAAGACTCAGATGTGTATTCCTCATCAAGGTGGAGTTCATTGTTGTCAAGTATGCTATTATGCAAATCTCCCACATTGGTAGAAGTCGAGTCCATAAAGAACCTTGCAGTAGAATAAAGATATCTATTAATAAGAACAGTTGGATAAGAATTCTCCACTAATATAGTTTTAATTAACTTAGTGGCTTCCCCTTGGTATAAAGGATGTAGGGACTCACAAGTTGTAAATCCAGTTAAATTATTTGATGACTTTGGATCAGGAAATGGTCCTGATGGCTTGTCGCATATTAACCAATGTGAAGTGTATGACAATGAATTGGAGAATATTTTGTAAGTATAACATATCTGGCATAGTTTAAAATATCAATACTTATAAATTATTTAATCGTACATAGCCTTTTTAAATCAGTGGGCCTATAGCAAACCAAGGACTTGGGGCCTAAGTGCTTTAATGCTGCGCACTTTTCGAGCTAGACAAACAGTAAATAAATATTTTTGTATTTTTATTACAGAGTATAAGTGACGATTCAGACGCTACTGAGACATGGACTCCGATCAACCATAATAATGGTTGCAATAAGATTGAAAGCAGTGAAGAAAATATCTCCCTTTCTGCTGCCCATATACTTATAAGGCAAAAAATGGATAAAGGAAACCAAACTGAGACAAATACTGAAATACCAGGAAATGTACCTGTTATTGACAATGAAACATATGCGGATTTACATTTTCGAGGTAAGTTAATGAATTTGTCATTTAACAATTTCCAAACTGCATTCACTTGAATGAAAGTCATAGATTTGTAGCATTTAATTAAGACAGCATAATCATATTTTTTTTTGTTTAGACCAAAACAAGACAAGAAAACAAAAAAGCAATACCACACGCTGGAAGTCAGCTCAAGCCAAAGATAACCGTAATTATGGGAAGTCATACACAAATTCTAAAGGAAATCAAGTAGCTAGTAGAAGTATTAAGTCACCTTGTAATGAAGAAAAATTTAGTGTAGATTAAAGTGTACTACTAAGGTAACCCACAATGATAGAAAAGATATTTTTAATAATTACTGGGGCATGTGTGTTATTAATCGCCAAAGAGAATTTATTGTAAGGCATGTAACAATAATTAAGCCCAATTATAGGTATATAAGGGAGGGGAGCACTAGAAGTAATAATCATGCGTTTAACTTAAACACTAGCCAGGGATTGCATCGAGTCTGCAAATATTTCTTTTCATCAACTCTTCATATCATTGCTAAGGCATTTCGCACAGCTATTGCTAAAAACCTGTCTGTTGAAGTTCTTAAAAAGGATAAACGTGGGAAATATAAAAATCACCTAGTTATTTCTGCTGCTGCTGTACAAAAAATAAAAGACCACATCAACAGTTTCCCTCGCATTCCATCTCATTATCTGAGAGCTCAAACAGATAGGGAATACCTTGAGGGCCAACTTATAATAGCAGAAATGCTTAGAATGTTTACAAAGCACGTGGTGTTCGTGTGTATTAAGGTATAAAAAAAGCGCTTATTAAAAGCTTAAAATTTTTTATTATAAAGAAGATCTTTTCGGAATTGTATCATTCCATCATCAGTTTAATAAAAAAGGTTGTTAAAAAACATTGTGTGGCCACATAAAAAACATTCGGTTGACATCTGGATTTAAAAAATAATAATCTTCATGTTATTTATTCAGGTAAATGCAATAGACTCTTGACTTGTGTAATATAAAAAAATTTAAAAAAATGAAACTGGGGGCATCTTATATGACCCCCTGTAGTTGGTGATAGTTGGTATAGTTTCATTTTTTTAAATTTTTTTATATTACACAAGTCAAGAGTCTATTGCATTTACCTGAATAAATAAGATGAAGATTATTATTTCTTAAATCCAGATGTCAACCGAATGTTTTTTATGTGGCCTCACAATGTTTTTTAACAACCTTTTTTATTAAACTGATGATGGAATGATACAATTCCGAAAAGATCTTCTTTATAATAAAAAATTTTAAGCTTTTAATAAGCGCTTTTTTTATACCTTAATACACACGAACACCACGTGCTTTGTATTCAACACGTATACTAGCCACTCCTGGATATCTCCACTTCATGGTTTGTTCCAGTTTCACTTTTAAAAACTTAGAATGTTTGTGAAACAGTGTAATGACAATAGTACTCAAAAAGTAACTTATGCTCTTTATGCTCATGTTTTTAGTAATAATTTTAACATAGGATTTTTTAAATCAAAAAAGGATTTAGGTGTAAAGTGTGAAACATTCAAAAATGCTATTCTTGATAAACAAGGACTAAAAATTGAACATGACAAACACCTAAGAAACAAAAAATTAGCTCGAAAGCAAACACCAGTTGATGCCGCTGGAGCAAAAACAGGAAATTGTGCTTATGCATGTTTTGATTAGCAAGCTGTGATGCAAACACCACGGATTGACGCTTCACTGTTTAATTATAAAAGAAAATTGTCCACTTTTAATTTCACTATTTATGAAATTGGAACCAGTCGAAGTTCCTGTTTTGTCTGGCATAAAGCTGTTGCTAAGCGTGGTACCAATGAAATTGGCTCATGCTTATTATGGTTTTTAAAAGATCACTGCCGAGACAAAGATCCTATATTTTACAGTGATAATCATGTAGGACAAAACAAAAACAAGCACTTGGCCAGTTTGTATTTGTATGCAGTACAGGAGTTAGGTATCAAAAGTATTACACATAAATATTTGGAAGTAGGGCATCCACAAAATGAAGGGGATATGATTAATGCTCTAATTGAAAAGCAAAAACAAAGGCAATTAAAATCTAATACTATCTTTGTTCCTTCCCAGTGAATTACGGTACTGCAAAATGAAAAGAAAACCGACAGTTCATTTAAAATAACAGACATAGTTACAGATGATGTAACTGATTTTAAAAGATTATCGGGGCAGATTGGGAGTAACTTTTAAAAAAATTCAGAAAATGATAAAGTAACATGGAATCAAATAAAAGTAACATGGAATAAAATAAAAGTAGTGCAAGCCAATAAGAATGAACCTTTTATTTTACTGTACAAATCTGAATATGACGAGGAATGAAATTTTTCTCGGTTTTTAAAAATAAATGTCAGATCACCTAATCGTGGAAAATTTAGTAACTTAGTGCTTGAAAAAGCATTCTCCCATCCACCCTCTATATCAGATGTAAAGAAAAATGATTTGCTATCACTCAGCAAAGCAATTTTATTACAAAGCCCTACCATAATTTTTATAAAAATTTAAATTCAGTAGCTTATCTTAATGATTACGATGCAGATGATATTGAATGAGGCACTTGCAGATGATATTAATTTCACAAAAGATAATTATCTTTTTAAATATTACTAAAGCAATTTACACTGTTGAAATACATTTTAATAGTACAAGTACAATGATTACCAACATTGTATTAAATGTATTTTCATTATTTTTGTCAATAGAGTAATGAGAATACGTTAGTAGAATATAATAATTAAATAATTTTAGACAATCAGATTGTATCTGACAGATGTAACGGAGTGTCGAAATCCCGCGGGTGATATAAAAACGTCTATTTAATTACGTGTAAGTGGAATCAAGAATGGAATTATTCACAGACAACACTACGGAAAATTAAAGACAATGTTTATCCATGACTACCTAGAACTCGAAACCGAAAACTGCAAACCATCATTACTCGTCTACGTTTAGACCATACACGATATACGCATTCGTACCTTTTTATCACATATAATCCCCCAAAATGTGACATTTGTGATGAAACAGTGTTAAACATTTTTTAATTGACTGTCCACTTTTTGTAAATGAACGCAACAGGTTTAATATTCCAAACAATATCCATAAACTCTTAGGTACAGACTTTAATTATGTTGATTTGGGAAAATATTTAAAATGTATAGGATTATATTATAAAATTTAAACTTTTAGAATTGTAGACCTACACTGTATTCCAGCTAATCACCAATGGTGGATGCGGTAAACTTTTTCAATAAAAAAAGATTGTTTCTGATTTCAATTCAAGTATTATTTTATAATGAAATAAACATTTTAATTGTCGTGTATTGTTTTATTAACAAACCTAAAGATCACTTATAGTGCCATATCCGTTTTATTAATGGCAAAACAGGTATTTTTAGAGTTAACATGCTTGAAATGTACATTTTTGAGTGGTAATATAGACACATGTAAAAAAAAAACAATTTAAATTTTTAGTTTTAAGTTTTTTAATAATACTGGTGTAAAATACTGGCGATTAGAAATAGTTAGGTGTAGTAAAATTATTCGTATATACATTATATGTGATTTCATAGCATAAACTTTTTTGTGTAAAACTTCAAAAGTGATTTACTCAAATTTATACTTCTTGAGTTGTGCCATTATAGATCTGGAGGTGCGATATAACTTATGACATATTATTTCAATAAAATATGGATAAGTAAGGATAAGGATAAATAAGGATACATAAAAAAATATCTTCAAATAATCTAAAAGTAGAGTATCTAAAAATGCTGTTGAACATCCATTTTAATTTGTTACGAATAAATAATCTGTTCTAAACATTTATTTTATTGCAGATAATCTCTTGTTGCAATATATTTTAGACTAGGAATGATAGGATCTAGCCCTATCAAATACTATAACTACATACAAACCGTTTTAAGGTATACCGTGTGGGATAAGAGATCAAATTTATTTGGCTCGTTTATCTGAATCCATTATCTCTCACGTGTCGTGCATCAAGCCAAAAGACAAAATAATTACTGGGATATCGGAGAAACCCAAATGACCTCTAATCGTCTATACAAGATTTCCAAATTAGTGGGAAATCTCTAAAACCAATTTTATCCCGTTCATTGACGTATCTGAAAAGCTCCAATGTTACAGAATAATTAATGATTCGTTTCGATTATCACAGAAATAGTAGGTATAAACAATGATTTTTTTTTATTTTTTAATTTTTTACTAAAAATTCTGTTTTTAAATAAAAATTGTCCAATTCCAATTTATTTTTTTCATGGATATAAATAAATACAGACTACATATACCTAAATGGACACATAGATAAAATAAAAATATCTACAAAACAAACATAAATAAATAAATAAATCTTATTCATAAATTAGTCAACAAATACAAACTAAACAATTATTAAACTTTAATTTTTTATGTAATAATATATTACGTGATTAAATTAAAACGAAACATTAAAAAGAATTGAAAATAAAAAAGAAAGAATTTAGTATGAACCATGTACCATAAAGTACAAACAAAACCGAATATAAAAATAATGGTTGATGTTAATACAACCTTATAGTATTTTTAACTTATTAATTATTCCTTCTTTCGCTAGCGCTACAACTCTTGCTATCTCGTTCAATACTTGCATTCTATTTTCCTTTGTCATTGGTGACTCATCTCCAATTTCGATTTCCCATAATCTTTAAGGCGGATCTTCCCATATCTTTAAACGGCTTCAAAATTGAGAGTGGCACAGAGACGAATGGAATGATCTATGCTACGAGTGACGTTGCAGGACCGAATAAGAAATGAAGATCTGTAATGAAGGACGAGTAGTGCTGATGTTGTAGAACGCATAGCGGAACTTAAATAGAATTGGGCAGTCATGTAGCGAGAATACATGACTCACGATGGACGAGCAAAATTACACATTGGAGGCCAAAAGCAGACAAACGTAGTAGACGAATACCACCTACACGTTGGGCTGACGACATCAGGCGTATTACGAAAAATTAGCAACAAAGAGCACAAAATCGCAAAGAATGGAAGAGTTTAAGAGAAACCTTTATCCAGCAGTGGATGTAATAAATGAAGGCTGGATGATGATGATGATGATGATGATTATAATCTATAAATTCTCGATACTCTAACCAAAGCAGCCTCGTAGTCTATTTTCATCAGGCCACCATTCGGTGATATTTTTTATATTTCTTTCGTTGCTCATTCGGAGCAAGTGGCCAAGCCAAATAA